TATTTACTAATAAAAGACTCCAGTATAGTGTTTGTATCAGTACCTATTTATATGCTAAGCACTATAGTTAGGTGATGGAGAAACAAGGAAAGCTTCCGTGCCTTTGAGGAGCTTGCCGTTTACAGGAAGAGTCAGATGTATAAATAAATGTAAGATACTGTACAAAATATGGACAAAGATTTATAGGAAGGACTTTTGATGATGGCAGAATAAGTACTTTAGGAAAAAAAACACTATTGAGGACAAGTAGAAAGCTAAGCAGAATATAAAACATCTGGAAGGCATTATAGGGCAAAAAGAAAATAAAGATTTATGGAGGCCAGATTCAGGAAAGTTAAAAATTCACAAAGGTAAGCATTGCCTTTGAAAGCACTTTTCCCATAGAAGCTTCTGCTGATTTCAGAAGAAGCAGCTTAGATAATGAAGCTAGTTGAGTAGAACTTTTGACAGACTCTTGAATCATGGTTGGAGTTCAGACGTCCTCCAAGACGAGATACTGATAAATTACCCATACCTAATGTTAGGTACATCTAGATATAAGGCTATAAAAGATACATCTAGATATAAGGGTATAAAAGAAGTAGACAGGCCCTTATAGGAACAGAAGCCCAGCGTCAAATCATCAATTCCTGAAATTAAATTAGGGACATCATGAATTGATAGTAGCCTTAGCAGCCTGCCTGAACCAAATTAGAGAATAATTTAGAAAACAATATCCAGATACATATTACTATATATAAAATAGATAAGCAACAAGGCCCTATTGTATAGGCACAGGGAACTAATGTATAGCACAGGGAACTATATTCAATATCTTGTAATAACCTAAAATAGAAAAGAATCTGAAAAAGAATATACATATTCAGTTTTATATGTGTGTGTGTGTGTGTGTGTGTGTGTGTATATATATATATATATATATATATATATCTGAATCACTTTGCTGTACCCCTGCAACTAACACAACATTGTAAATCAACTACATTTCAATTTTTTAAAAAAATGAAAAGAAACAATATCCAGAATGAAACACATCTGGAGAAAGTAACATCATCCAGAATCTCAAATTACTGCTACAATAATAATTGCTGACACACAACAAAATCAAATAGCCAGACCCAGGAGGACATTATGTAACATAAATGGCAGCTAAGTTAACATCTGGAAAAACAAATTCATAGGGACTCTAGATATTGGAGTTAGCAGAGACTTTAAATTTTCTTTAATATGTTGAGTGCAATAAAAGAGAAGATGAAGAATTTTGGCAGAGAATTGGAAACTATTAAAAGAGGAAAGGAATTTCTAGAACAAAAAATACAGTAACCAAAATTGAGAGCTAGTTGGGTTTAGAAACAGATTAGACACCATTACGTAGAGAATTAGTGACTTAGAGCAGTACTGCTCGAAGTGTGTTCTGTAGCTGCTGAGAGTCTATGGGCTGGCTGCTATTTTTTGAACTATGTAGTAACAGTCCACAACAGGATAGGAAATTTGTGTCAGAATGTAGAACAAATTGACCCTGAGCACACCATTTAGTTCAACTGGCATCTTCTTTTCTTTTCTTTTTATTTTTTAATTTTTATTGGAGATAGTTGTTTACAATGTTGTATTAGTTTCAGGTGTACAGCAAAGTGAATCAGTTATACATATAAATATATCCACTCTATTTTAGATTCTTTTCCCATATAGGCTGTTACAGAGTACTGAATAGAGTTCCCTGTGCTGTACAGTAGGGTCCTTATTAGTTATCTATTTTATATATAGTAGTGTGTATATGTCAATCCCAATCTTCCAGTTTATCTCTCTACCACTCAAGTGGCATTTTCTTTTTT